AAAAGAAACCCCAAACCACCCACCCGACACGCACCTAGAACATTTAACACAGAAAGCTGTTGGTCAGTAACTCAAACTCAGAGATTTGAACTTAAACAAGTGCTGTTTTGCAACACAACATTGCTAATATTTTAAATCCAGACAAAAAAGCCTATACAATTTGATTTCAAGAACATCAACAAAACCATAGCTGTATCAATACAAAAAAAACCAATTTAATTTGTTTTGAAATAAATATTTAACATACAAAGCACATACAGTGAAAAGGGGTCACAATAAATTACAAATGGAGATACTTGCTCATTCACTGAGAAAAGCCCTTGATATTTCCAATTTCATACCATCAAATTTATCATTCTTGCTGATTTAAGCACAGCACTAAACAAATATGGATCCCAGTGCTTTCTTTCACAGGTACTGGCATGGATAATTTACTGCAGTGATCCAATTTGAAAATCAGTAGGGACCAGTAAATCACTGCATAAAAGAAAGAGCGAATGAGGTGCTTTTTCCTTAGTGTCAGCAGCCTGTGATTATTATGTTTATTAGATTTTCTTGAAAGGGCTTCACATTTTCTCAAATATGCAGGAGAACTATATTTCCCCTCTGAGCCCTTACATTAGCATTTTGTGCCTCAGTCCTTGAATACAAGTAAAAGATGAATTTTTCAATTCATTTTAGAAGTTTGTACCATCTGGATGGCACAGAACTAAGCAATGAAACTCCCTTACCTGCACAATATCTGCTATTATCACAGAGCTAGCTTCTGCAGAAGAGTTAGTAAGTAATGCTGACATTTTATGAAAAAGATATTTTTGAATCCACATTTGAGATTAAATTCAATTACATTATCCATACTGATAATGCATCTTTGAAATAAAGGATTGCTTCAGGTTCTGTCCTTAAAAGGCGATTTAGAACAGCAAGGCCTGACCCTTCCTGTGATTTTAAAAAACTTACAGCACATTAAAAGTTACAGTACAAACATAAACTACACTGAAATTGGTTCATATAACCACAAATACTTGCACTGCGGCAATTAAAAATTATAGACAATTACAACAGATCAGCATACCCTACTAACATCTAGCATATAAGTGTTCATGATCTCAACTCTGTTGCATTACTTTTCCTCACCAGAAAGATGAGGATACTGGGGCCATACCTAGCTTTTGCACATGAGAATCAATTTTTGACACCACTTTAAAAGAACATGCTGTTCTAGCTCGATGGTCTTTGCTACGCTTAATCTGAGCACTGTAAGGTACAGTATTTCTGAAACTGCTTAAGCAGCAGTTAGTATCATTTTGGAAACAGGACCAAGAAGTCATATGTGGGGTAGAAATGAATCATAATGCCCCCTGGACTCTTGCCCAACTCTTTCTTTTTTCTACTTCCTGCTCTACCAGAGCTCTTAGATGGCCTCAGGTGAGTGCTTTCCTTCCATGCTTCATTCCCTGGCTGTAAAATGCGCAAGAACTGTGCTTCCTTAATTAACCGGGGATCTGCACAGCAAATGTTGCAATACAGGCACCTAACGATAAAAAGGTCCAACACAGACTGTACAAAATAACCAGCTACATTATTTGTTTGAACAGTACCATCACATACATAGTTAGCAGCTCAAAAACTGTTGCAACAAATAGTGGCTCATGATTACAGTATATTAAAAATATCCTTAAAATGTGTAACTTAAAATATTAACGGATATTGCTCCCCTTGAACATCTATCAAAGAAGGGAACAAAACATAAAACTGACAGCACAAAAATGACAATAAAAGTATAAAATTAAAGACAATAAAGGAAATAATGGATCCATTAGTGAATTACTTTGCATGTAAGAAATCCCAACTGGCATTAGCTACTCCAACAGACCTAGTGGGTCCTGATGCTTTATTTATCTACAGGTGAGAACAGACAAGTCTTAGGAGCATCACTTCTACAGCAAGCGTGTGCACAGCAAGGGGTAGGTCCACCCACAGAATTTATGCAACAGCACTTTAACTTATGAAAGCAAAGACAATAAAAACAATGACCAGTGTGATTTATACCAGTGGAAACAATTACCACATTAGGTAGACAACCTTTCAGAAGGAAAAAAAACTCCTCTGCTTCACAGTTGGGGTTGGCAGGCTTTTTATAGTCAGTTGCAAAATTTCTCTACTACCACAGACTTCTGTTACAGCCTCTGCATCACAGCTAGCTGTTGACAGCACAGCAACATGAACATACAGTTCTTTTCCCCAGAAAAATCTCAAGCTACCAGGACACAACCAGCATTTCATGTGTTTAATTTAATCATTAGTAGAGAAACAGTCACAAACTGTGGTAAGGAAGCAGGCACAAGGACAGAATGTTTTTGCCAGCATTGAGTAAACTTAGTGTTATCATTCAGACAGCCTAAAGGCTGCAGTTAAAAAAAAGTTGATGCAGAGTGCAGGTCAGTTGCCCTATTTACTTTGCTTGGAAGTTATTCCTACCTCAGTGTTCCATGTTTTCCAGGCACAGACAGGCAAGTTTTACCAGGCCACAAGTAAAACCCAGGCCTCATTTGTCAAGCAACTCCTTGCAAAGCCAAGAATATACTACTAGACAAATCAAATCCCATTCATGAAAGATCTTCCTCCTCTTGATCCATTTTTAAGACTTAATAGAAAGAGCTAACAAGAAATTCGGTACCCACATAAAAGCTCCAGTTTGTGGCACTGTCTTCCAACTCTCTACTTACTGAAATATCATTCACTTATTCCTTTTCATCTTCCTCATCCATTCATAGAGTTGGATCTCAAGACTTAGCATCCTTCAGTTACAGTTGCAAGACATCAGATCCAATTTAGACTCTTCTCTAATTTAATGACAGCATACAATTAAAGGAACAGTAGGCTGCACCCATAACAGCAGTCTTAGACCAGAAAAGTTTGCTCACAACTAACATGTTATTTTGCTTACACTAATTACAGAAGTATTTATTTGCCTTCTACTCCCAGTATGGGGGCCCACTTACCTGACAAAATTAATTCTTAACTCACAGTACTGCAAAGAGCTGAACAGAGTCTGATGTCACCACTCAAAAAAATATACCATGTAACAGGAAAACAGGGTCTAGAACAGTGCTGAAGAATTGGTGAGAAGCAGGTCTAAATTTCTGCTCTGATTAGATACTGTTGCCGTGCTTATTCTTGGGTTAAATTTTGAAGGAAAGGGTCATAAACTTTTGCACTTTAGAAGGCAGAAATTCCCTATAAAATAATTTAGAAATGCACAAGATATTGTGTCCCAATTCAGAAGCAGCAGTGGGAATGTAAGAACATGTACACATACACACAGGACAGCATTCTGCTCAACTTCCAGGTTCAAGCATCAGCATGTTCTGTTAGAGAGAAAATAAGCTTGAAGAGCCTAGCAAATTACATTTAACACTCCTTTTATTGCAGTAGAAATTTCAGTTTTTATAAAATCCTCACATTACAGGATATACATAGAGTGAACCTTGTTGCAAGTCTTTAGCAGCTGTAGAGCATTACTGCATGCAGTTGCTTCTGCAGTGTGCAAGTGTTCTATAAATAGCTAATCACGTTCAGAGAGCAAGACAAGTAGTCAAAAAATATCATATTCAATTAGCAATTGGTTCATCAGTACCAAGAGGTTGAGCAAAAAATGAAGTAAGTGTATAAATACATGGCTCTGATCTAACAAACTAATACAACTGCAAAGTCAATGATATCCACATCACAAACAAGATAACTCAATAGTTACAGGAAAATACTTTGCTTAAAGACTGAAAGTGTTTCACATAAGATTTCTCCGACCAAGGAGGAAGAATAGTTAAGTACAGTGCTACAGAAGTTTACAAAAGGCCAATGAAACCCCTTTAATTTTATGCAGTTAGAATATTAACATTAACTACAGAAGATTAGGCAAATAATTTGCCTTGAATTTATGGAAAGAAGTTGTGTTCAGACAGGTAACATTCTTCTTCCACAACCTACCTGTCAAGCTGCTGGGTGAATGCATAATCAGCACTCGATTTAATATTCAATTCTGTAGTCATGACACTGGCTTCAGATCACTCAGATGGATTTATGCCAAAAAATCCTGCACTCATTTGTTTCAGAAGCTGCCTAAACAGGTGCAATCCTTTATGCAAATTTCCCATCACAATGAGAGTCTCAGAAACTGGAAGAACAATTTATATAGAACTAGCTACAGATTAATTTTCTAAAAAGCTGACATGCTTGAATTACTGCAGTCTCACTTTTATGTAGACACAAAAACAAATCTGCAACGATCCTGCAAAAGTTACTTTGTTTACATGGATTAGTTAAGAGACAGTTAAAAGTTTAAGCATTGCATCTTTGTCTGAAAAGCCTACAGGTCAGCAGTTTGGCTTGGTAAAACATCTTCTTACGACAAGATAACTGCACAGTTTTCTGTGATCAGAGTCTTGAGATTTCTTCCAACAACATAATGTAAGACTATGTAACAAGGTAGAAACTTGGAAGAGTTCTTTTTAAGTAATATTAATAAAAATAGCCTCTTCTTCAGAAAAGGTGTTAACTATGCCAGCTTCATAGATTTTAATCCCTTTTGTAAATTCAGAGTGGGCCATATTTTTACATTGAGTATCGTAATTTAGACAAAATGGTTCTACAGATACATTTAGTAAGCAGAAGAATACTGTCCAAAGTGTACTGCATAGGTATGTGTAACAACTGCTATCCACTGGACACATCCTACAGTAGCTATAGTTCCAAGTAACATAAACCTACTGAGCACAGACGACTTAAAGTTTTAATCAACCTCAACCAATCCTTGATTCCTAAAAGAAAAATTCTTATGACTGGGCATGTTTTGGATAGGATGCAGCTACTTTTTTTTTTTCCCTCCACCAATTAGCAATACAGCACACTAATTTTAAGTTTCCATGACTTGCTTTTGATATGCTAAATTTCATATTATCTCCAAGAAAAGCATATACACATTTTTATACAGCCTGGAGTGAGATCAGTGGAAAACCAGGAATTTATAATCAGTAATAGCAGAAGTGCCAGCTGCTCATAATGTTCACAAAACACAAGTGCCTGAAATTTGGCTATGCAACAGTTGGTGCCAATCTGCTTATAAAGGAAATGCTGCTGAGGCATAGTCTTCTTACAAAAACAGGGCATGAGGGCTTCATTATTAAGTGTTCAACAACAATTCTCAGCTCAGTGAAGAGAGTCCTGAAAAATCAGATTTAAAGAGAGCATTAAAATCCGACAGCATTTATCAGACGTAAGTATCATCTAAATCTTTTTCATTCACTTCTTTTCTCAACACCCCCCCCCACACTCTAGTTAGCAAGTTCTTTAGATCAACTCAGTGTTGCAATATCTTGCAAGGGCTTCAGAATTCTTGTCCTTTAAACATTAACTTTTTAATTAACTTTAGTTCAGCAACTTCCAGCTGAGGACAGATATAAAGACAGCAGAAAAATTCTACCTTCAAGCAAAAAAAACCCCAACACTATTAAAAAAAGGTGCAATGCTTTATCAGAAACAGTGTAAGGAGTTGAGAGGTAATTGTGCATTTGCTCTGCTTCTTGCCAGAATGCAAAACCGCTGCACTCTAGAAGCAACTGTAAGAGACAGATGTGAGAAATAAAACCCACACCAGTGGTTTCCCTTAAAACTACATAAATGCCAGCAGAAAAATCTTGAATAAACTAGTTCTATTGAAAGTTAGTTTTAGTATTGCACAACTTAATTTTTAGATACCAAAGTAGTAAAACACCTTCAAAGATTTTTTTTTTTTGTTAAAAAAAAAAATGTACCAAGATGGAACAATGGATTTCTTACAAAACAGCAGGGAATAGGAGGCGATTAAGTTTAGGATTCTCAGACCTGTCTTTGCATACCATGGCAGCCAAAGCCACTTCCTTGGTACTTCAGCAAACCATTTTCTAACCAGGTAGTGATCACACTGGAAAGTATGTTCACAAAATCTTACACTATGCAACACTTGTCATAAGAAAAGTTCTGAGAAAGCACTGACCTGAGCAAGTCCTCATAGAAATATTTATGGTTTCAAAGTTTAAAGGAATAGGATTAGCTTGACCAACTTTCAAACAAAATCAATAAGGCTCTATTTCAATTATAATTAACCTGACTTACAAATTTAACTGAAAGAGGTAATGAACATGTTTAAGATCATCCACAGATTTTTTTTTTCTGTCAACGTTACACAAGTTCATAAGTTCCTGCTCATGTACAGACTTAGCCTCAAATAGGCCTGGAATCTAAAAATAAGGATACCTTTCTGGTAAATGGTTGTAGAACAATTAAAAGACTTCCTTCTCCCAAAGCATAGTTTTAATTATACAAACATGTTATGAAAGCTCCCACTCAAGGATGATGGTACATTTCAGAAAAGTTCAGTTACATGAAAGAAATGTAACCTTGAACCAGCTGTTGGGTTTTTTTAGCATCCAGGTGTGTTCCATGTTCTACAATTACCATTTGCAGATTTAGTATTATGAGTTATGCATTCATTTTAGAACAAAAAAATTCTGAATGCTTAAACATTAACTTCCAAAATCAATTTAGTGCTTACCGACAGTATGGATTTCGCCGAGAGGAGTAGCGTAACGTAAGAAACCTATAGTAAATGAACGGCTGGAGCAGACTCCCTTGCCCACTGAAAAAGAACAGAGAAGTAGAGCTTAATACTGACAAAAAACAACCCCAAACCAGGACTTTTCCTAATACAAGGAAGCAAATTAGGCTCAAAGAAAGCTACACTGGGGTCACATTGGTCCAGATAATCTAGATCTGACAAGAAAAAAAGTAAGTAACCATACACTTACAAAAGCAGAAACTTACATTACAGACTAAAACTGCTCAATGAAGCAGTTAAAGTGCTGTTCTTGTATTGATTTTATATTTATGAAGTTTTTTTTATATGCCTCATTTCTGGTGGCAGGCAAAGAATCACAGAAGTGATGGTGGATGCCTGTTCAGTATTAAGAAGCTTGCTGGTCAAGCACAGAAATTGGCCAACATAAATAGTCCAGTTACAGCAAGCTTTTTCCACTGTAATAGTAGCACTTTGAGTATCTGGACCATATTTCTAGTATCTTTTGCAAAACTTCTCAGGACACACTGGAGACTATTATAGATGTATTGAAATATTAATGCCAAGCTGATAGCCAACTATTTCAGTTACACTGAAATTAGGTTTTGATACTTTACAAAGCTGCTGTTTCACATGATGGTGCTGTAGAACAGTGAAAGGGTAGCATACAAACCATACACAGCAAAGCACTGAAATACCGTGAGTTTAGTTTTAATGACTGAAGCTTCTTTATATAACACAATATTAAAAAGCTCTGTTTAAAGATGAACATGACAGTTCCAGGAACTAGAGCTCCTTCACGTATGAGCAATATCTTTACCCAGAAGAAAAAATATAAAGTGAAAAGGAAAGTGAGCTACAGGAAGAGGAAAAGAAGGAATCTTGCACCTGTACAGCACTTACAAGCAATTTAATATGCTAAAATAGTTTAAAGAACAAATTCTCACAATAGCTGCATTTAAACATTATACTATTTTAGAATTTGGTATATGATCTTTTACAAGCTTCACTAGTCCTCTACTAGATGACTTATCGAGTAGCAATACTTCACATACTAAATTCTCCAGAGAGAGGGGAAAAAAAAAGTTCTCCTAAAGAGAATTTTAAACCACTTGAATGTTTCAGATACTGGATACAGAGTGTATCTGTCAGTTGGTAAGTGGCCTTATATGAAATGGAATCCTTCAGTGCTGAAGCATTGAAGTGTTCAGCTGACATATCAAAACATAAAGACAAATGATGCATTCTATCAACTTCCAAGATAAAGCCTCCCTTCTGCTGCCTGTGAGACCACTCAGGACAAATGCTCTCACTGTGCTACAACCTGTATAGAACAAAGGACGTTATTCCCCCTCCAAATATTAAAGGGCATTGACCCAAACTTAGTGACTGGCATTTTCAGCAGGATTCCAACACACATAGCTCAAGATCCCTAAAATGAAATCAACAGGCTGCACAGTAGGTAAAGCCAAACAGATATTAAAAAATGGTCAGAAGTTACACAGGAGAGGACATAACCTACTCCTGCTTGCACACTTTTAGCACAATGAAATTTCATGCCACTTAGATTTCTGGAATCCAATAGTCAAGAATAAGAGTTCACTTTCAGTGAAGCTGAAGATCTTAATATTCTATTACACTGGCCAAAAATAAACTTACTGAACAGTGTAGAGGAATGCAAGTTACACACATGAAAAAATTTGATTTGACCCAACAATGTCACCCATGCCATGAAAGGGAAGGGTTTTTTTGGTACTCAGTTATGTCACAGTGAATGCTTTTTGATTTCATGATGCACCAACTTGAGAAGCCTAGGAATCAAATAAATCTAATTCTAAGTTCAAGCCTTGGTCAGCCAGAATCATACAAATAGAGATCTGTGACCCACAGAGAACTCAACTGCAAAAAGTAATCTTGTGCAGAAAGTTTCTAGTTCTGAAAATACTTATGGTAATTCTTACCTGAAGAGCATAAAAACTGTAGCTGGCATCAGGAAAATTTCATTGCAAGCAATGAATTTTAGAATATTCTGCTGATTAGCACTCAGTTTCTCTAAAAGATTTCTCAGAAAGGGCAGACTATTTGAACTTCGTGCCTTTAAACAAGAAAAAAAAGATGGCCAGAAAACATACAATTTACCTTCTGTAGCATAAAGAAATCAAAATACTAACAATTTACAACTTACTTAAGCATTTTAAGACTAGAGCCTTTAAAGGTATTGAGATTAGTATCCCAAAGAAAACTACCGGAAGCTTGGAACTCCGTAATTACATGGAGTTCAATTTGAAACATGAGGTGTTGCAATTCCCTCACCCAGTCATTTTAGGTTCAACTGCACAGAGGTGGCCATGAGCCTTACTCTGTCCACTAGGAGGAAGTACTCATGGTAGCAACACAGCCCAGTTAGGAACAACAATGGCTGGAGTTACATTAAGCTGCACAAGGCAGTTCATTGAGCAGCAGGTCCAACTCACAAGTATTTTGCTTCATAGCCTCACCCTGTAGTTTCTTATTTTACTACTGAAATACAACATTAAATTTCACAGGCTATGGTTTGGCTTGAAGAGACATGTCTTAAGTTTCAACTTAACTGTCACACAGTATTTGCTTCCTTCAAAGAACAGCATTTGAAGAAAAATAATTAGTGTCAACTCCAACATATCATTGAGTCATAACAGAAGATTTGGTTCTCTCAGATTCACTGTGCTGAGATTCCATACTACAATTTCACCCTAACTCCTCTAATGAAGCTAAAGGAAACCATAGCTGCAACTCAAACCTGTTTATAAACCCCAAGAATACCAACAGTATTAATCGTATCATACATATCATACTTACATCAAGAACCTTCTTTGTATATGTGGCAGCATGAAGCAAAGAGAACAGCAGAACTGGAAAAATACTCACTGAAGCAAGCGATAAGGAAAATTATAGGCTGCAGAAGTGCTTCATATTTCTCCGTGATGTGATGCTAACACACAGGTCATAGCTTGATGGCTCTTTGCAAGAGGTTGGTTAGAATGACCTATACTGGATTAAGACATGTGTATGTCCGACAACTATATTTATAGATCTTCCCTTTGCTTCTTACACCTTCTCTTCGCTATGCATTTTTATTAACTTCAAAATGTGCATGTATGCAGGTATGCAAAAGTACAACACACACCATTGCACACCAGTGCATTTCTACTAAAATGCATTCTTTGTGCATGTGAGGTCACTTCTTAAAATCTATCATATACATGTAGTCATAATATTTTTTATTAAGAGATGCTACTAAATGCATTTCTTCACCAAAGAACATGCAGTTGCCAGCCATTCAGATTTTAGAAAGCAAGAACATAGACACTCCTCTGCCAGAGACATTTTAAGAGTAGGACATTAAGCGTACGTACAAAGTGGCACAAAGAAAAGTCAGTTCTTTCATGTCACAAGCCACAGGAGTAAGTCTTTTTTGCAGACTTCATCTGTTTAATAACTTATCTGAAAAAGCTACTACTGAATAATTGTCACTCTACATGATATATGTCCTACCTACAGTGAGGAGTCATATATAAACCCTGTACTGGTAATAAATGAGAGTCACCAACTTCTCAAAGTATCACAAAAGACTGGTCATAAAAGCCACTGAAGTCTCAGGGAAAGAAAATATAAGTAACCAGAGATAGCAATGCACTAGTTACAGAGATGATTAACCTGAATATGGATCAATCAACATAAGCCTCTCCTATTTTACATAGAGTATGCTCTATGAATAGCAAATCTATTCTAGTTTAAACTAGTTCTTCAAATCATGGCACAGGTGATGAAAAGAATCAAGTTTAAGATATTTAAAAACATTACCAGGATGACACAAGTAAAGGATACTTGTAACAGGGTAGGAATTCACAAAGATAAGAGAGTACAACAGGTAGTGGCAGCTGTCCTCCAACAAAGCCTGGGCCAGAAACGCCCTGCTAAGCTGAAAGTGCGGTAGCCTTTGGTGTAGTCGGAGGGCACTAGTAAGAGCATTTGCCAGCAAGGCACGCTGATAAAAGCTTGCTGCTTCATGCAACCTGCAAATCATCAGAGGAGATGTTACCATATGAACCAAGCCCCTGCTCAGAAGCCTTCCACCCTTGAGAATTGCATCACAATTGCACAATACCTGAAATATTTCTATATCGTACATACACACTATTACCAAAATACAATTCAAAAACTGCTAACACTGACTTACTGCAGGTACCAAAGGTAAAACAACTCAATGTATTACTCCATAACTACAAAAACATGCATTTGCCACTATTTTACAGTTACTCAACACATTTTCCAAACACACCTAAACATGTTGTAAACCAATCTAAAAATATGTAAACTGTTCTAACAAAAAGCATCCAAGTAAGCTGAATAATAGAAGTTCACCCTTACATGAAAAACAACTCTATGAAAAGGGAGTGTAGTTACTTTGTAGATTTTTAATGCTATTTTACAATATTACCATACATACCCTAGAAGAGGCAGGACAAATAAAGCTGAGCAGTAAACTGTGAACAAGCGGGAAATCCACATTGCTGTATCCAACTTGTTAGCCATCAGAAATTGCTACATTAGAAGAACAAAAAAACCCAACCCCCACAGAAGTTGGTATCTTAATATTTGCATATAATGAACATTCTTCCCTGCTATATTAACATTGCAAGTCTTTCTCCAACCTTGAACAGAATCAGATTATAGCTCGAAGCAAACAGCATCTTTTTGTTTGTGTGAAACTTGACTTATATGATGTTACTAGCCAGATCAAAAATAGCTTGGCTGTCTCAGAATCAAAAGGCTCCTTTGTACCTTACAACAAAATACAGCGGTAAAATCTTGCATGGAGGTAGTTTTTCTTAAACAAACCAACCTCACAAAACAGCGAGCTTCAAAAGCGTATCATGCAAGGTCTTTAGACCTGACCGACTTTCGCATCTATTGCTTCAAGGTTCCTTTTAGGATACGCTTCATGCACCTGGGGCTAAATCTCCACACTTCTTATGGAGGGGAAAAAAAGAAGGGGTCAGGTAAATTAAGCATAGCTACATCACAAGGAAAGTGGTATTGTTTTGGCCTACATATTCTTGGCCACAAAAAAAAGAAAAAAGGTTTTCATGGTAATCTAGCACCTCTCCTGTTGTTGAGCTCTCTCCTTAGCCACGGTCCTCTTCACACCTGATACAGTCCCCATACCAAAAAGGCTCTAATGAAACACAGCATGCTTTTGGCCATTAGGTGCCAAAGAGTCAAAACATCAGCTTCCTTTCACTTGAAAGAGCTCAAATTTTTTTTTCCGAATTTGAACCAGCTTTTGAAAGCTGTTCTTTTCCTCTATGTTCCTAGACCTTTTTTAATGAAAATTACTAGAAGTTAACCTACCTAACCTGCAAGCGTCTTCATATCATTATCTACTGGCTTGGTAGCACCACATAACCACAGACGCATATTTACAGTCACACGGAATTAGTTTTGACTGAGAAGACACTTTCACGAACGGCGGCACAGCAACAACCAGTTTTCAATCAGAAAGCGAAAGAGCTG